AATAAGAGATTAACAAAGAATGAGTTGTTTCCATGATGTGATGGTGCTTTCGACCATGCCATTTTGCTCAAGAGATTCAGCACAGGAAGACTATTGAAGAGTACCATCCAATTGTAATAAGTAAAGAAAATCATTATCACGATATTCCCCACCTAAATCACACCAAAAACATTTAATAACAAAAGAGTATTGGGCTTAAATCATGGCACGAAAGATGGTATAGATAGAGTAAAATTCAGACCGGTGCTTCATCAGATAAATCCAACACTGACGAGTATAATCATCAATAAAAAAGACATAATATCTGGAACCCCCTTTAGTGGGAATGGGTGCAGGAACCCACACATCAGAATGCATAAGATCAAAAGGTTTAGAAGTAGTGAAACTTTTATTAAATGGTAAAGCAGTAACTTTGCAAGTTTGCATCCATTATGATCAGAAATATTATGACTTCTCAAAGAACCTAAGACACCGGTAGAAACTAAATACTGTAAATGAGAGCTAGACACATGACCAAGGTGTGAATGTCATAACTAAAAAATAGATGACTTAGGACTCAATAGAAAAGAAGACAAATCAACTAAAGATGTAGCAATAGGAGGAACATGCAGTGTTTTTAGAAGATATAGTCCTCCCAACCTGTGGCCGATCCCAATCAACTGCTTCGAATGAGGATCCTGCACAACACAACCAGAGGAAAAGTACACATAATAACGAATGGCACAAAGTTGACTGACGAAAATAAGATTCAAAGTTAATTGAGGAATACAATAAACATCTGAAAGAGAGACTATAAGTCAAAATTGACCCTACCTGGGCGAAAGACATAAGAGTGCCATTGGCAGCCATAACAGTAGTAGAAGGAGAAGAAAAGATAGACAATAAGAGAGAGAATCATGTGTCATATGATGCGTAGCACCAGAATCAAAAACCCATGTGGAACGAGATATACTTGGAGGAAATGAAGAGGAGGAAGACAAACCAAGAGAATAGGAGACAGCTAAGGCATTTGGCGTATGAGTAGAGAGGAGTTTCTATAGTTGTTCAGCAATAACAGTCAAAGATGGAGAGGAATCATCCACTAAAGAAGTCGTGGCAGCTGTATGTTTGTCTCCACTAATTTTCCAAGAGGATGATTAGCCAAAATGCCTATCAGAATTCTTTCTCCAAGTGGGGGATTGCCTAAACGGTGGACGGCCCAAAATCCAAGGACACTAAGCCTTCCAGTGACCTTTTTTTATGACAAAAGCTGCATCCATCCATTGGAGCACGAGAGTAGGATTTGCTGGAAGTAGTAGAAGAATGACTAGCAAAAACGGCCAGAATTGTTCGAGTTGGCAAAGGAAGCAATCATTTGCCCGAAGTCGCTTTGAAACGAAGTTCTTCAACCAATAACTCATTAACCACAGAATTGACAGAAGGGAGAGGACTCAAATGCAGAATAGTACTAAGAAGCCCATGAAAATCAACCCTAAGGGCCATCAAGAATTAAACCAACCGTTGGTCCTCTCGATAAGTACAATATGTCGCATGAGTGCTCAATGACTTAGGCCTCGTTTGTCAACTATACATTTTAGTTAAAAAGTCATTATAAGTTGTCACATCACTCACTCTACTTTTCTGCACATCTTTTCATAAAAAGCTAAAAAATTACTAAAATAGCATGTTCCCAAATGAGGCCTTAGGATCAGTAAAAGCTAATTGATCCCACAAACTAGTCATGACAAGATAAAATTCCTAGATGCTCTTATCACCTTGCACAAATCTCATGTTCTAACTAATAACGTTTAGCAAAATTTGATGAACATACAATCGAGAGAGATGATCCCAAATTTGCTTCACAGTAGTGAACTTGGCAAAATGAACCCCAATAGACTGATCTGCAGAATTATTAATTCAAGTAATAATCTTGGCATTAGTAATTGCAAACCGTGCTGTTTAATTCAACAGGCTGGAACTTCGCTGCAGTTTCATACTTGGCAAATATACATTTATAAACAGCACGAATAGCTCAAAAAATAAGTACATAGCACATCAGCACAAGCTGAAAAGAATGACAACTACATTGAGGTCATGTTTGATTCACAAGATTAATAGTGAAGTATTAATAATCCTATTAAATTAGTGTGGTATTCATTATCCAATTGGATTAATATCCATTGGATTAATAATCCCACCCCTACCCTATTACTAATAATCCTACAAATTTTCATTGGATTAATAATCTCACCCCTACCCTATTACTAATAATCCTACAAATTTGTTGGATTAATTATCCATTGGATTAATAATCCTAAACCAAAATGTTAAAACAAACATTGGATAATTAGGCCCACGGATTAATAATCACAATCCCAATCCCAATCCCATACTCTAATCCACCCAATCAAACATGCCAACAGATTTGCCGACCCATCTTAGACGCAGATTCTGACAAAATACCCACACGGCCCTGAGGGTTTTGCTCACTAAAGAGATCTCTGTTGGGATTTTAGAAACTCGATATGCTACCACGCGTGTTCACTAAATTAAGCAAACACTTTTCTTCCGTAAATTGGTAATCAAAATTATCTCTGACAGCACAAACATGTCTCAAAATGGCACATTTAATCTCATTTCACTTGTTTTTCTTTCTTCGGAAAAAAAAAAAAAAATCTATACATCCTTATTTCAAATGAAAGAATACAATCACAACAGTTACAGAAATAATTAATAAATAATAAAGAATACACTCATAAGAACTAAAAGGGCAGAATAATCTTTGTAGTAAACAAGCAAATTTGCACCATTTGATTGAATATTTGGACTCCATTATTCTTGAACTAAGTGCTAAATATTTGATATATTCAATAAATTGGATTATGTCACAAGAAGTTTATAGGACATATTTACCTAATATCTTTTTAAAGTTGCCCAAAACATGAACTTTCTTTTTTGCCTATTAATGTAGCAGTGGGAAAACCATGCATGGATTGTGTCTCTTATTCTTCTGAGTTTAATATGAAGTAAGCCTGTTCCTCATATGTGAATGAAATTGGCCAGCAAGAAACACAATTTGTGGGTTTATTGAATGTTGTCCTTTCATTTTTCTTTGTTCATATATCTTTTTGTCCTTGGCAAACAATGTTCATTAGATTGGTCTAATTGCTGGATTAAATTATTAAGCTTGCTTATTTGGACTAAAATCATTATTCATGTTTTTGTCCGAGCAAAGGATTGGTGGCAAATAAACCGCAATTCTCAAAATACTTGTTTGATTGGCCTGTTTGAGAATTCCTACATCCCCAGCACACTGAAGCAAAAGGACATCATGTTCCATCTGTTAGTTGTGGGTTGCTCTGAATAGTCAAGAACGGACCAATGAGAACTACTCGAGCAAATTTTCTTCATGGCCCATAAAGCAGAGGTATATGCTCAAGTCTATGGTAAAATTGGTATAGTGTGATTTCAATTTGAAATTCAGTCTATATGTTAGGAATCCGTAATACTTAACTAGGACATTGGTGAAACACGAAACACATAGATGAATAAACGCATAAAATTATAAATCACAAGCACATACAAACAGCACAAGGTTTACGTGATTCACCCCAAACTAGTGCTATGTTGACAGAGGCTATGATTTTCACTATAATATAAATAAATAAATAAAAGTTACAAGAGATTATTGAGATAGTCGCCTTTTATCAACTATAAATACATTGTAAAATAAAAAAATAAAAAAATTAGGGCAAACAAGTCACAAGTACCAAAAATACTTCTATTTCAAGGTCGAATGGTTAGTGTCTAGTACCTCTCAGGATCCACACTACCCCAATATTTTGAACATGTGGAATTACACTATGACCAGAAATACTAACAGCATTTTCCTTTACTTTTCTTTTCTTTTCTTTTTTGCAGGCCAACCAGTATAACCCTTGGCTTTTAATTCCATGTTTTGATCCCTACATCTTAGGGCCACCAGCATAGTACTCGATAAATATGTCTTTTGTGGAAAGAAAACACAGTAATTAATTTGACTATAGTCCTCATAAACATGGAATAAAGTTGTGACCACTGCTCAAGCCTTTTTTTGTTTGGGCCTACTGAAAAATTAACATCTACATGAACTTGATGATAACAAACACAATAAAATACTGGATTTCTATTTTAAACATATAGAGATGTTTTTTCATTGAACAAGGTAACAAAAATAATTCAGCAAGTTTTGAAATGAATTTGAGACGGTTCCTAATTGATGTAGATTCCAGATTGATCAGGGATACTTCAAAACTATCTATTTCAACATTGGCACCACTTATCCTAGAAGAGAGAGAGTGACAAAGTAGAAACTAGATTTTAGGTGATGTTGTGCAGACATCATTGGCATACATTTTCAAACAGACGGGAAATTTTAAATAATGCATCAAGAAGATCGTAATTTATTGGGATAGATTTTTTGGCAGCAAAAATACATTATGTCAAATGAGTGAGACAACATAGCCACGAAAGTTAATATGTATACATAGTAAGGCAAGGAAAAATAATATTAGAAATCATTCATTTTAAGAACAGTGCTAAAAAGAACCAATCATACAACAATCAACAGAGGTAAGATTAGTAAGTAAGAGCAGTGCTGGTAACAGCAAGAACAGGACACAATTTGAAGGAACTAAAATCAAGAGGGGTAAGGCAGACAAAACGTTTGAAGAAAGTTATGATGTCATGCATCACACACGACATGAGAATTATTGTGCTTTGACAAGCTCTTAAATCTGGACAATTTTCTCAAAAAATTATCTCTATTATGAACTTACCAATTTTCTGTATATTCTTGACGCAACAGATGAGTGCTTTAACATGATAATTGGGCTTGTTGCATGCTTGTGGTTATGTGTTGTTGGACTTTTTTAGTTCTCATGATATATGTAGATTATCTACTCCCAGTTGGCCGGGAAAAAAACAAAGCACTCATCTGTTGCTTCTAGATTATACTGACAGTGGGAAGGGAATCATACGTGAGGTAAGAACATGTATCCAACTTCTCAACTACTGTATTATTCAACTATCAATAGTAGTTTCACTAAGGCAGAACAAGACAAAAAAGTGAAAACTCAAAATTGTATTGAAATTATTGACAAGATCACATTTGATCAGCTTCAAAAGGGTTACTCACAATTTTTGAGATCCACTGCATCCTAGAACTGAATGTCAAATATCAAACCGGTCCACAAAATTCAAAGGTGTAGTTGTCTCATTTCTAATCCTCTTGAGCTTAGGGCTCAACAAACCTCTATGGCTAAAACCATATAACTTAAGAACCTGATTATCTGCAAAATTGAATGCCCTCTCCATGCTTCTCAAACACCTCTCAACGGGATAATCTCCGTAGCTCCCACAAGGCTTACAACCCACAAAGTGTGTCACAAATGGCCACCTCTCATCACCCAACCCTGGATGGTGCTTCGCAATCATTTCCTCATACTTATCCACCAAACCTGCCCAGTACCCATGTAAGTAATAAGAATTCTCCAAGAAAACCTTATCCATCCACTCATCTTTCTTTGAAATAAACAAGTATATCAATGCAGACTGATCATCAGCCTCAAATTCTGGCCTACCCTTTAAGTTATGTGTCAAAATTTTCCCAGCTTCATCACGAACCGGACCTTTCGGCCCCATTGGAGCCCAAGCATCAAGCAAATCCAAAGACCACTGACAATTCCTTAACAAAAAACTCCCAGTATTCAATGCAATCCAGGACTTGTGATTGAACAATAAATCAGGGTACCCATGAATAACAAGATTGTAATCAGCATACTTTGGAATTGGGATTTCAAAAAACATATCAGTGAAAAGAGCATCACTGTCCATCCACCATATCCACTCGACCTCCAGGTGCGAAAGCATCAACCGTCGAATTAATGGAAGCTTCGACCAGTACCCAGAAAGCTCCGTATCAAGATGGGCCAAGTTGTAGACAATCTCAATGCCGTGAATTCGACAGTAATCAATCTTGTTCTTGATAGACTTCAAAAGATAGTGATCGCCAATTGGGTTGTCACAGGGGCTTGGAGGAGACCCAGTTACAAGCAAAATGCGAGCTTTCCCATTTACATAGTTTGGGAAATTGGGGTTTTGGGTGAACCAAGATTTTCTAGAAATGTCCCAATTGTTGATTTTGGGACCCAAGGTGTAGGTTTTGTTGGGATTGATGGTGGGTTCCAAGTGTTCATCATATGGGTCATTTTGGGATCGGATTTCGGCTACGATTCGATTGGCTTCTTCTATGAGGTGGGTAGTGGTGGTAGTGGTGGTGATGGAGGGGAAGAGGTGGTTGAGGCCAATGGTGCCGTGGAGGACGAGGACGGTGATGAAGGCGCAGAGGATAGTCACCCTAAGGTTGGTGAAGAAGCCCTTACGGGTTCGGGAGGAGCGGTGTTTCAAGGTTGTGGTGGTGGTGGGGAGGGTGGCGGCAGTGGTGGTGGTAGAAAATCTCTTTAAGGCCGACAAATGGCCCATGATTATCAATACACCTAATGATTGGAGAGACAATGCATCATGATGTTGTTCATAGAAAATGAATGAATTGATTCTTCTGTGATGGATATAGACGTGCTGGGATGTTTCTCTTCGAATTGAGATGCATCATGCATGCAGAGACAGTACTGCCCCTTCCAAACAATAATAATAATATAATGTTAGGAAAATTCTACAATACATACTTTCTTACCATCCATACTTATGTCATTTTTTTCTTTAATTATAATTAATTTTTTTCATTACAACTTTATTTTAATTATGATTCATGCGATCTTTCATTATATTTCCCGTTATAATTTTTATTTTTTTAAGCATGACTCCAAAAATAAAAAGTACGAAATTATGTTAATTTTTTTTTAAGTTAATTATAAGGTACACTTTCCCATAATGTTAAGAATAAAAAGAGATAGATTATAAATAAATGAAATCTGAAAATAAAAACAAAAACAAATAAACAATGGTTGCCAGATAAAATTATTATGTATGATACTCACCTTAAAACTTGTGTTCTGGGGGTATTCACAGGTGGGTTTGGATTGGTTTTACTATTAATCTGTCACCTGAACTGACAACTAGGGGTGGAAGACTTGGAGATCCGACTTCGACCGAAAGTGTGTTCAGGTGATACTTCCATGGACAACTGAGCTTTATCTTCCTTTCTCACAAAAACGCATAAGCACACGTAGAGATCTGAGAGAGATATATAAAGTGGGAAGATTGTTGTTGTATGGTGTTGACATTCATGGCTAGCTCAAAACAGAGCCATCTAGACGCAACAAACCATCATGCTCATCAGAAATAGGGGGGTATCCGAGGAGGGAAGGGAATGAGAGAGAGGGAAAACCGCAGATCTGCCAAAAAGCAAGGTGGGTGAGAGAGAATATTAGTAGAAATGAATTTATCTATTAGTAAAGTTAAGAGGTTGATTAGGATAATATAAATAAATATATTTTTTAATTTTTTTTATAGAAGATCTGCGGAGAAATAGGAAGATTGGGTGATCTAAATAAATACATTTATTTAAAAAATATCAAACAAACTCTATGTATAATAATCAAAATTTTAAAAAAAAAAAAAAAAAAAAAAAAAAACCTCTAAAGTTTGAGTTTTATAAAAATAAATAAATAAATAAATAAAAATATAAAAAAAATTGAATTTTATCAATTTAAACCTTAAATTTTTTGTTTAAGAGTTTTTGAAATAATCTAAATAAGTACATTTTTTTACTATTTTACAAAAAAAAAAAAATGTAACAAAAATAGAGAAACAATGTGAGCCAAAAAAGATAAAAACATAAAAAAGTGCGTTATTTTAGTTCATGCCAAACAAGCTTTTATCTTTAATCTAAACCACTTACTTATTTTCGTGAAATAAAATAAATAAAATAATTAATATTTTGGCTATTAAACTCAATGAAAAAGATGTATTTTAAATATTTGGGAAATTTACTTACACTATAATTTTACCTCTTTATACCTATTTTCTCATTACACCATTAAGAAAAAATTGAAATTCTCATTACACTTATTATAATACTATAACTAACCCTAAATTAAACCATTTTCAAAATCCCTACAGATTTTTCTCATTACACATATTGCTTTTGAATTACTCAAGTGTTATGTTACCAAATAAAATATATTTATTCAGCCACAAAACCCGAAATTGACAACGCCATTGTGATTGGCATAATTTTTAGAGCCTACGGTGAAATTTGATTGAAAATTGATTCGGATCAGATTAAATTGATTTAAATTAATGACTTAGTACCCAATTGTTTTGTAATAAAATAATGGGTTGTTGATTTAAATTAATGACTTAGTACCCAATTGTTTTGTAATAAAATAATGGGTTGAGCAGGGGCTTATAAGGGGCCATATATGTTCAATACCCCTTTGGTTATTCAAATTGGCTGATTATAACTCTAAGAGAGTGAGAGGGTCGGCCATAGAGAGAGAGGGAGCTCAAAATTGGAGTTTGATCTTAAAGGCTTGGAAATCTTGAAGATTTCTCTAGATTTGACCATAGATTGGAAGAATTGAGCCTCTAGGTAAGTGAATTCATGAGTTTAATGTTGTAAATTGTGAATTCAAGTTTGATTGGTGATCAAGAACAAGAGTTGTGCTTTAATTGATAAATTTGAAGCTAAAATGCACATGCATGTATAGGATCACCGTGATTTTGTATAATCAAATATGTATTAAGTTGAATATGGAATTATGAGTGTTAAATCATACATGCAAGCATGTTTTTGTTGAGTTTCATGAGAATGAACACTATTTGCATCATCTAGGTTGAGAACAACGGTAATACATCACATGCATGTACAAATTATAAGAATAGGAGCTATGAATGCATGAATTTGCATGTTGGAAATGAGTTTGGTGTCAATTGGGACATGCATGTGTTTGATTTATGAAATTGAGCTCTATATTGATGTAAATGGGTGTTTGTATCATAATAGCATAAAAATATTTGAAGTTTGAGCCATAAAATGTAAGTTGGATTACTTTGAATGCTGGATTTGAACTCAAGAACTCAGCTGGAAAACCCAAAAAATTGATGTCCACTCAAGCGGGGAAACAACCGCTTGAGCGTGAAATTCGTGCTCCTAGCATATTTTGCAGACATGACTCCCGCTCGAGCGGGGAAGTTCACGCTCGAACGGGGAGCCATGTAGAGAGGCCTTCCGCTCGAGCGCCAAAAAGAACGCTCGAGCATAAATTTGACTTAACAAGCACTTTTGCAGGCCTTAAGGGTCCGCTCGAGTGGGGACCCTGTTTTTTGAAATTTTGAAAATGCATTCTGTGTTCTGTTTTCCGTTCCCTTTCACTTCTAAGCACTCTTAGGCATACATTGAGTATTGTGATTGAATTAAAGAGATAAGAATGAAACCTAAAGAGGAATATGTGAATTAAAGAACGGATTGAATTATTTGTGACCCATATGTGTTATGTGATATGTAGGGTCAAGTTCCAGGGCAAATCCACAAGCCGATCACTGTCAGTAATATCTGAAATACGTTGTTGTCCAATTGTTTACTTCTATGTAAGTTTTGTAAAGTTCATTAATTTGAATGGTGGACACAGTTTGATATGAAAGTTTGAAAGGGCCAAGTGGCTAGTTTGATATGAAAGTTTGAAAATGCCAAATGGCCAGTTTGATATGAAAGTTTGAAAAGGCCAGAGGCTGTTTTGACAAGAATGAATGATTGGGCCGAAGGCCGATTGACATAAATGATTGGGCCGAAGGCCGATTGACATAAATGATTGGGCCAAAGGCCGTTTTGACACAAATGAAAGTTTGACATGCATGAATGGGCCAGAGGCCAGTTTGACATGAATGAAAGCTGAATGGGTCAAAGGCCAGTTTGACAAATGGAAGATGAATGGGCCAAAGGCCAGTATGTTTGGAACCACAATCACTTGACTTAAATTGTGTATAAATATATGTTAAATAGAAATATGAATTGGGCCCAAGACCGTTTGAAGCATGTTGTTCTATATACCGTTTGTATAACTCTTTTATTTGATATTATTCACTGGGCTATTGCTCACGCTCATTCATGTGTTTGTAGGTGAGCCAAGAGAAGTCCAAACCCAGCCCTAGTGAAGTCTGTATGGAACAACAAAGGTTTTGAAGAGTCAGCCCTTGCGTCTCACGCATGAGACACGTCTTCGCCCTTCTGTCATTCTATGTTATTTTGTCATATTGGCGAGGACTTTGGTGTACGTCTGTATATAGCTTTGTTTTGGCTGACTTAGATTTGAATAATCATGTCTGTATAGAACTTTATGTTACTATACTTTCTTTTGTGAGTTATTAACATATGTGTGTATGGAATGTTATGATGTGCATATAAGCACGGCTCTATGGACAAGGTTTTAAAATTGCTTCCGTTTGGCCCTCGTTAACTCTGTTAAAATACGTCTGGTTTGGTTTGAGGCCGTAGGTAACCTCATGATTACTGGCCGGTTATGTCCTTAACCCACGGGGACGGGTTCGGGTCATGACAGCTTCGATAATTTGAACCATTCAGATTTTATGATTCGTTAAATACATCATCCCCACAAAAAATAAAGTCAATCAGATAACGAAAATTATCTGTTCGGATCAATTTTGTATGAACCGTTTATTTTTTTACCGTCTGCTTTTGAAGGTCCCCTTGCTTGCACCTTGGGTGTTATTTTAGAATAAAAAATGCTACGAACCAAGCTTATCAACCTATAATTTACTCCAACTGTGTTTGTGTGGTGGAGAATAAGTTGATGAAATGTGGGGTCCATGAGTAAAATGAATTTGAACCATTAATTCCTTTTTCTGTGTAAATTCTGGGTTCGTATCTGGTTTTACAGTGTTTTCATTTTAGAATTACGCACATAATTATATGTGACTGCACATTTTAAATTAAAAAAAATCCAACTCATTGACGTTTGATAAAATTGTAGTTTGAAACCCAACCTAGAGGCAAAGATGTTGGACCTTGGGATGAATTGTAACTCCAGACATTTTATATTCGACTCTCACTAGTGTCATTCGAGCTTATTTGATACATGTGGTGTGAAGGTAATTGCAGATATTCTGGTTTTACTCTGTACAGATGGATTCAATGTGTTCCTACCTCATAGAGGTTCCTCATCATAAAAATAATAAATAAATAAAATTTAAAAATTAAGCATGGATAACATTTTTTTTTTATAATTTAAAAGGTTATTTGGTATGTACAAAAAATTTAAGTGGTTTGATATGTACTAAGATGATGTTTTAAAATGATTAGTTTTCTTCTTCTTCTTTTTTTCACTCCTTAAATATTAGTGTTGGTTGGTAATGACATAGCGGTAGTGGTATTGTGGTATTGTGGGGTTACGATGAATGGTGGTGTGTTGGTGATGGCGGTAACAAAGCTAGCTGTATCATATCGGAGTAATGGTTGGAACGACAATAATGAAGTGATGGTTATTGTGATTGTGATAATTAAGTGGTGATAGTAGTATAATAAAGATGACAAAGGTGGTGGTGGGCTGGGAGGTTATGGTAAAAACGTGGTAAATATAGTAGGTGGCGATTGTAGTGGTGATTGTGTGTAATGATCACTCCAAGAATTGTTGTTAATAAGATCAATCTTAAAAACTCAAAGTACTATAAATTCTGCCCATTAAATTTTGTCTATAAATTAATTTGTAAGTGTAGTGAGCTCAATTATTACAAGTCAATGAAATCAACTCAATCTAAAAGTACGCTTTTTCTCAACAATTTTTTAGAATTTAATACCCGGCCTTGTATAAGGTGGCATTGTCCATGATTGTACGGTGATTGATGGCTGCCATGGACGTCTCATGGAAGTAATGGTGATAGGGTGTGTGGTAGTAGTAGAGTGAATGGTGTGGTGACAATGGTGATGTTGTAGTGATAGTGATTACGTTAACGATAATAATATTGAGTGTGTGGTGATAATGGTGTAAGATAAATGGGTAATAATGATGATGACGGTGATAATGACGGGAGCAACAACAACGAAATGGTGGTAGTAGAGTGAGAATGATGGTGATGTGTTATTAGTAATGGTAGTATATATTAATTATGACATAAGCATAAGAAGTAAAATAAATCATTCAACATTAAAGTAACGTCTTAAAATTTTAGTATATTTTTAAGAAGTACTTAAATTTTAAGTGATATAAATTATAATTATTTATTTTGAATTAGGCTTGGTTTGGGAAGTAGGTTGGCTTTTTAGTTTTTTGGCTTTTTTGGCTATTTTAGCCTGGGCTAAAAAGCTTGGTTTGGGAAGGGCTTTTTGGCTTTTTGGCTTTTTTGACTTTTTTTGTGAGAGAAGAATGTAATGATTATAGGTTGGATGTGATGTTTTG